CAAGGCATGTAACAAGGCACAGATCCATAGATGGGTTTAGTGAGTATGCAATACACGTTTGAGGATTTTTGCTCCCTAGGGACACCCATGTTTACTCCCTACTGAATTGTATGAAGCATAATGTTCTTGCTGCACATCTTCTGGTTTCATTTCAAATAACAAGAGTCCACCTGGTGTGCTCCAAGACCAGTCTATGATGTGAACCAAAGCACAGTAAGAGCAGACAGTGGGAAAACTGACTGCAGAGGTACACTCTACAGCTGAACGTAAAAAGCCTTAAAACACCCCCCCACTAAGTACCACGCACTGCCAAAATTTTAGTTTTAAAGCTGGTTTAGTCAGCTTTTAAAAAATGTATCTTGGGTGTGATGTTCTGGACATGAAAATTATCTTGCAAATTGCAGAACAGAGCTTATACAATTTTTAATGCAATGAAAATATAAAGTACATTGAAAAGAAGTCAATTGACAGCAAGTACATGTAAAATTATGTAAGTGTAATGGAAAGTTTCTATTTCAAATCAAAACTAGAATATAATGTTATGGGTAACAATGTTAAACTATTGTAAAGAAACATGTGTTCATAGTAATTTTACATATATATATATATACACACACCTACATACACGCATAAAGTTGTGGAGCATAAAGCAAGACACGAAACATTGGCAAGCATTAGAGATACTTTCCAATATGTCTTGCTCAGATTTAACTGGGTAACAATATCACTGTAACACGTCAGCTGAAAAGGGAATTTAGTATATGCAGATAATTTTCTTTGCTAGTTCCAACTATGTACATAAAACACTAGAATGGCAACATTCTCTAGAGAATCTGGAATATCCATATGAACATGCCTTTTGTTCTTGCTCTTTTGTTTCTTCCATGTTTTGAAAGGCAAGGATATGGGCTTCCTGAAGTGACTTATGCCTTTGCTGATGCTCCTCTTCCAATTCCTGGATCTCCTGGGTCAGCCTCTGTCGCTCCTGACTGAACTGGGCTTGTAGCTGTTGCAGGGAGCTCTGTGACTGGGAAAGCTGCATCTCCAGATTTTGCTTCAGTAAGGAGATCTAACCCACAACAGAACAGCAAATGTCCATTAGTCACTAATACTAACACCAGCCACCAAGGAGACATTCAAAAGAAGAAAACACTTGAAATTTTAAAACCAGTGCATTAGCTGCACGACAGACAAGCAATGTCTTCCATCTACTGAATTTGTTGTTAATATTGTATGTCTGAGATACAATAATTATATTTTAGGAGTTTTGTGAGGGTTATTACATTGGTTAGTTTATACTACAGCACTACCTCTAACACATTCATGGCCAAATTATCAAAAATTATTTCTAGGTCTTACATAAAAGATCAATAAAAATGACACTATCAAGTTCTGAAAGCAAACTCTTGATTATTAAACTATTTTTCAGGGAAACATCTCTTCTCCAAGGATCATCTTGCAGTTGGGTGGGGAGGACAGCCTGAGACATCTGCAGTGATGGATTTTTGTATCTTTTGATGTGTTATGGTCCTATCTTACTGGTAGTTTTCTTATTTAGAAAGAAATGGTATCATACCACTCTGTATCACAAATATAGCTCAGTAAGACTCAGGGAGTGATTTTTATGCTTGTTTCCAAAATCCAAGATCTAAGCAATCTGAGTCACAAATAACTCATTTTCTGATTTTACAAATGATGCTTTTCATCCAACAAGTATTACAGTATACTGTATTCCTTCAAAAAGTCCCATTTTCTTTTTATCATAATATTATACTTTGTTGTTCACATCAGATAGCATATTTTGAGTCTGAAAGTACTAAACCTGCATGTCCTTTAGAGCCAAACATGAGAGATATATCCTCCAATTCTGGAAACAAGATTTAACCAAGAGAATTTTGCTACAGTGGCTTGAAGTAAGAAATAGTAAAATTTCCAAGTGACAAAGAATTTCAATCAGTAAGGATACTTTTCAAGCCTTGGAGCATTACATAAAATGGAATTGTAAATGAAAGTCTGATAGTGTCATTTGAATCAGCATATCTTGAAATTAATTATGACAAATTAATAACGACATTGCACATCAATTTATTGAGTTAAAGAACACTGAAATCCACCACTTAACAAAAATTAACAGCAGCACACCAAGGACAACTTGCAGCATGAACATTGCTGTCGAACACGTGGGTCTGTTTTTGGGTTTTTTTCAGAAGGGCACAGCTAAAGCAGATTTGAAAGAAAAAAGCTACACAAATAAAAATTAGCAGTAAACTAAACAAAAAAAGCAAATTAATTTAAATGAAATGAGCATGGCTCGTTGTATTTCAGGTTCACCAGGTCTTTGTGTCTGGGCACTTATACTCTCCTTTTAACATATACTCATCAACAGTATTTACTTAGAGACCTTTGCAACAGATTAGCTACAACTGAAAGAGTATAGCAAAGACCTACACTACATGCTGCAATCTGAACTATACTCGTAAAACCTTTTACTAAATAAACTAAATATAAATTTCACATACAAATTTTACAGTGAGACATGAAAGTTTAGTCTAATTTCTGGTTCTGCCTCCAGAAAGGGCTATCCAGGATTACCCTGGGAAAAAAAGGTCAAGGCATACATGTAGGAACCTTGACTCTTATGTCTACCTGGATCCAGCAATTTTTCTTGAACCAGAAGAGGTATTTTGGGGCAGATTAATGAAAAAAATATTAACAACCATTACCTGAACCCATAAAAACTTTTCAGTATCTATAATGTTCTGTGGCAAGTTCCAAGTACACATGCCAATTTGACATGATGATTTCTAATACTTGTGATGGAGAGGAGTCAAAAGAAGTTCCCTTTGCATTTACTCTATTCTACTCCTGTTTCTATAGAATTCCATAAATTCCCTCCTTACACCCTTTGCCATACTGAACTGTTTTGGCTTACTGAGTCACTCCTTGTAAGAAAGCTGTATCAGATCTATGATCACATTTCCTCTACTTTTGCCTCTTTTCTGCTATTTAAGATTAGGAAGCCAAAACAGCATAAGGTGTTTGAAATGAGAGTATACTCTAGTTTTAGTGGTTTATATGCTTTTACATTTTATCTTCGCTGTTTCTCTCATATATACCTAATGTTTTATTTGCTTTTGTGACTCCTGAACAGTCATGTGATGTTTTCACCTACTTTCTGTTATAACAGATCAAGGTAAAGCTCATCATTTTACACCTTTTTTTTCCTTGTGTATCACTTTGTATTTATCTACACTGAATTTCATCTGCCATTTTATGGCCAAGGTCCTTGGCTTTTTACAGCTATTCTATAATCCTTCAGACAGTCTTTTCGCCACCCTAAATAACCTTTTATAAGCTGCAAACTTTCCCATCTTACTTATTTATCAACAGCCTGCAAAACAAAATATGTCAGCCATCAGTGTAACTCCACTGGTAAGCCACCTTCACTGTGGCAACACTCAATAGAATACATATTTTTCAACCAGTTATTTATGTATACAAAACCTTTCCTCTCACATAGGGGAGTTCTAGTTTTCTCAGAAGCCAGAACTTCTCAGCTGACCTGTTTCAGCATACCATGGCCAGGGCTGCCATGCTGGTCAGACAAATCTGTAACTCAGTCACACACTGTATTTTTTCTCTTCACCCCTAGAAACTCACTGCACTGATGTGGTGAGTTTGCACCATGCATGGCCAGCTCTGAATTTTCATGTGTGCATCATCTTCTGGTATTGCAATGTGCTATTGTTTTCCATCTCCAGGAAAAAACTAATCTATCTTACCTAAATTCCCCCTTAGTCTACTCACATCCCCATCTACTCTGATGCATCCCATGTTCACTTTTGAGTGCTTCTCTTTCCCCACATTTCTGTAACCTCATACCTACCTTTCTCTTCATCTGTAAGCCTTGACTTTATTTCCTTTTTCTCTGTCAGACTACACCTAGCAAAAAACAGAACCTGGCTGGAGGTGTGTTTCCCCCTGTGCTTTTAGATAAACTATGCTTCTTCAGGTTACTTCTGTTCCTATTTCATCACATTCCATAAACTCTCAGGTTTGTTGTGTTTGATTTTTTTTTTTGATTCCCTGAGACCACTACTGTGACTTGGCTCGACAATCTACTCCTTCTCTTCCATCCATCCCATATTCCAGTAACTCTCCCCCTCCTCTTCCCCTCCTTTGTTCTTTTTCTTCTTCCTAGCTCCATTTTTAGTATAATAGTAATGTGTAGTCAGGATAGTCTGAAGAGATTATCCACTCCAATTCTATGCACTAGGTGGGAAATTTATACACAAATTACAGCTTAAAAATCTCATATGCAATAAAGCCCACAATTTTTACTTGGATCCTGTTCCACTTCCTCTAAGTGCCTGTGGCAGGAACGCTGAGATACTGGATGAATCCCACTCCTACTTGTCCCTTCCACCAAGTTCCTGTCCTGCAGGTTTCTCACCACTGTCCTGTCCTGTTCACCATGGCCCCAGGAGGTACAATCCTAGGGGAAGTGCCACTCAGTCCTGCAGAACCACAGGTAATTTAATCATCACACTCTAACAAGTCTTTCATGATAACATTCAAATAGAGTCAACCACAGTAACTTAGTCAAATTTTTATCAAGGTAACATGAAGGAAATGCATTTTTGGCTTGAAGTTAAAACCTGCCTCTTACTTAAGTTCCTGCTCCAGTTCTGATAATTCTCAGCATATTGTTTATGAACATTTTTAGCATGGGCCAAGGGCAAAGTGATTTTTTGGCCAGGAAAACAGAAGAGATCAGGAATATGTAAGAGCAGTTCATACTTCCACCAGATTAAAGTGACTGCAAAACCACAGCCTAAAATGAGTCAATGTCTGGAGATGTCTATTTGTATTGAAAGACTATACAGAAAATAAAGGACAATGAGGAGTTAATGATTCTAACAAGCAAGTCAGGTTAGTCTACCCTTCTAATAATTTTTTTGATGTTGAAAAGTAAAAGAAGGTTAAAAATATGAGTCTTTTTCAAATAGCACATAATTTTAAACATTATTTTTTCAGTTCATGCATTGACATCCTTAAGAGCCCATTTTTGAGAACATTAGTGCCTCCCTTTGCATGTCTTTGGAACATCCCTTCATTGAGGATTCAAAAGAAAACAGCCCTAAACCCTATCCTCTGAACTTCCAATACTTTTATCCAAGGTTTTCAGCATGTTAAAAACAACAGTGAGAATTTTAGAAATTAGAAAAAAAAAAAAAGAAAGAAAAGTATTTTGGCTACAATTATGACTTGCACTGCAAAACTGCAAATTATAATACAGCATCAATCTCATGCCTTGTAGGAAGCTCTGCAATACACGTTTGCACTGCCCACAAGCTTGCTTGAGTCAACAATGACAGGGAAATGCTGCTTACATTATGACCACATACACAGTGTCTGATGCCCAGTGAGATGTCCACACTTACACAGATGAACGGATGCAGTACACAAGCTTTTGATTACTAGCGGCACACGCTCTCCTCTCAAATATTACCACGTTTTCCATTTCATAGGCTAAAGCTCTAAAGCAATACCACAGGATATGCAGGTTGATTAGTGCAAGCATGCCCTGTTCACAAGCTGTAAGTGCAAATCACTTACATTGCTGATAGATTTATGCAAAGCTTCACCGAGACAGTGCCGCTATGAAGAAAAGATCACAGGAATAAAGGGAAACATTCAGAAATCAACTAAGTAAAAAAAAAGGGATAAGGAAGGAAGGGTAAACATAGAACATTAATTATAATTTGATCAGAGAAAAGTAAGTTGAAAACTATCTGGAAAAAATATGAATACACTGCTTTGACATAGTATATAAGCTACCGAACACAGAACAGAATGATGTGGTTTCCCTGTTATGTTCTGGACATACAGGATAGCATTATCTCTTAACATAATGTTACTATATATTAATATATTACACAGCTGAACTCTTTTGAAGTTATCCACTTGTCTTCTCTTCCCCTTTATGGCAAATAATTTTGGGAAGAAATCATTAAGTACACCAATTTGCATTCCTATGAGAAAAGGCGTTATGTAAGGATGCAATCA